CATAGGCATGTAGAAATTGTGAACAAAAGCGTGTTTGTGTGTGTGTGGATGTGCACGTGTGTATGTGCGTGTATGCGTGCATGTGTGGGTGTACGCGAGAGAAGCGAAAGGACAGCAAAATATTGTGTATTCGGTCAAAGTTGGTTGCAGCACAACCAGACTCCTGGTGAGGAGGAGAACAAAGATGGAAAGATGCAAAGACCAGATGCCTGTCTCTTCGATGTTCCCGCTTTATCCGGAGAGGTGATAGGCGGATGCAAGCTAATCTATATGTACCTGACCAATAAAAGTTTGTCTGGTAAACTGGCTTGACTACGACTTTTGGATTGCGGCCTCGGATGTGTATTGTTCTGCAGGAGGCGATAAAGAGAGGCAGATGGTACAGCCGATATGCCTAGCGTCTAGTTTAGATAAGAGGGAGCGAATGGAAAGACTGTCGAAGGACAATGAACGGACCCAGTTGGCTCGAGGCCGTCTGTTGCAGGCAGGATTGCGCACTTGAAATGGCTCATGGACTTGCGAGAATGGCGACGAGATAAAGGGACCGCAGCATACAAATCTGGACAACAAAAGTTCTCGTCATTACTGTCGCTACCGCCAAAAAACGGCCATCTGCTAAGGTCCATTCGGCTCTGTGGCATCACCAGAACACTTTGGTTGCCGGGGCGAAAGGACTTGGGCTCCGCTTTCACGGAGCTTGTCTCTACGCCTAGCGTCTGATCGGGCCCGGATCAGAGCACCACAAGCAGTCATTACGTCGTAGCATTGCTGCTAAAGTCTGGCGCAAGTATTTTCTGACGAGGTCATACGCAGAAAAGGATGAAGCGTATGAAGGGTGTGAATTGGTGAACGCTGTATTACACGACAGCATAACACAACCCAATACAGCACAACAGACGTGAGATGTGGATGTTAAACCACTAATGAGAAATGATTCGGTGCCAAGAGGCGGGAAGATAAGAGAGACAGTCGTTATATCATCAGATGGAAGATAGTTACGCCAAGCACTGAGATGAGCAAATGAAAGAGCCGGGAAGTTGGAGTGGTCCTGGATTTTTAAGTCTCAACAGCCTTTTCTGTGGGGTCGAGATGAAATCAAGATGTAGTCATTCTATACCGTTTAAGGTGACAAGGGGACTGATAGTTGAACTTTCTCTACAATCATGTGAATAGACCTTACGTTTCCATTCCATTTCGCATAGCCTTGCTTTCCCAAAAGGTATTTTCATCCAGGTTGGAGCCCGAACCAATCTCACCCTCACTCCCAGCGGGACTCGAACACCGTGTGCGGTAGTGCAGCATATAATTGTGACGCGTTACCCATTACGCCACACTACCATCAGTGCTCTTCGGTCACAGGTCAAATATGAATTCCAGGGAAGACCAGACATCTTACCATATCATATTCTGTGGTGGGATTGCCGATCATATAAGGTTTTATTTGCTATAGCACTCGATTAGACGACCACAGAATATGATATGGGAAGATGCATGACCTCGCTTGTAATTCACATCTCGTGGCAGAGATTATAGGCTGCACTACCACAACCCGGAGTCCCGCTGAGAGTGCTGATGAAACTGAGGACGGGGTCGAAACTGAAGTCCACTCTAGCCGAGATGAGAATAGATTTTGGGAGAGCAAGGCTATGTGAAATTGAATAGAACATAAGATCTACTCATATCATTGTGGAAAAAATTCAATTATCAATCACTCAAAACGAAATAGATTTAATAAACCTCATATATA